AGATTCTGCCTTCAGATGGGGTCTGTCATGGGAACGAGAGGGAGACCAGGAGAAGCACAGAGTGCTGTGCCATGGGGTGCTCTTTGTCTGTAGCTCTGGGGCTGAACTGGCCCTAAAATCCCTTTGGAAAGCACCCTGTCCTGGGAAGGACTAAGAAGGATGAGGTAGAATGATGCATTTTCCAGACCATGGTGTGGAGAAAAACCTGGCAGGAGCAGGGGTCTGAACCTGCTTTTGAAATTTCTCGCACAGTGCTTGAATTGCAAAAACTGCTGCTCTTTGTTGTTCAGTGGTTACTGTTAAAGCTGTGCGAGGAGCTTCACAGAAGCTTTTAGATCTAATTTTCAGCTGTGGCACAACAGCCAGGCTCACTGCCAAGAGCTGGGGAGAGAAGAGGGAAAGGGACTGGGATGATTACAGCAGGATTGAGAGATTTCTCAGCTAGACATGCTTCATCTGTGCTCTGAAACAAGAGCCTTGTGAGCTGCAGGGCAAAGCAAATGTGTGGGGTGTGTGCAAAAAGCACCAACCAGTATACCCTTATTTATTATTTGGATTGTGTTAATGACTTGTGCTTTTAGTCAGGAAGTAGTACCAAAAGTGATTACTGCCCAGGGAGAACACATCCCACGTGGCCAGCCTGGTGTACACCTGCCTGGATTATCCCTGCAAAGGCTGCAGGGATTTGCTTCTTTTCAGCTTCACAGAGCTGCAACTTCTTGTCATCCTTTGCCTCTGGGTTTGGGCTGCCTTTCAGACAGTGATGTCTGAAAGTGGTTTTCACACGTGCTAGGAAGCTCCTGTGCTTCTCATCACAGCAGCAGTGTGAGTGGAGGTGGGCACGAGGCAATCTCAGCCTCAGGTGCCCTGCTCGGTGTGCCAGGGGCTGGCAGGGCTGGAATGTTGGCCAACATAGTCATACAATCATGGAATGTTAAAGGGTTGGAATGGACCTTAAAGATCAGCCAGTCCCAACCCCCTGCCATGGGCAGGGACACCTCCCACTAGACCAGGTTGCTCCAAGCCTTATCCAGCCTGGCTGTGAGCACTGCCAGGGTTGGGGTATCCAAAACAACCTCCCTGGGCAACCCATTCTCAGTGTTTAACCATGTTAATGTGCTCTGAATTGAATTGCTGCAGGAAAATAAACCCTCTGGCTGTTCTCCCACCACAACAATGAGACCCATAAGGGCTTGGCACCTTCTGTCTGAAGATCCATGTGTTGCAAACCACTTGTGGGGTTCGTGGCAGCTCAGATGTTGCTCCAGTGCGTGGCTGTGGGACCAAATCTCCCTTAAAGCTTCTCCAGACCAAAGGTGTTGGAGTGAGCTGGCTGGACTTTGGGCAAGTGCCTCCCCTATGTATGAAAAGGTGATGGGGTCAGGATGGGGTGTGTGGAATTACTTCCCTCATACTGGGGCAGCAGAGTAGCACTGAGTTCTTGGGGAGGTCCTGCAGAACAGGGAGCACAGGAGAGACTCCAGGATGGAAATACTCCTAGGCTGTAGTGCTCGCTGTGGGGAGACAGCTCGGGCTCTGGAAGGGACTTGCTGGCCTAATATTTCTAAAATGTCATTCGAGGAGCTGTCCAGGACTTGGCAGCCCAGCCCAGGACGTGCTGCTTCTCTCCTTAAAGGGAGTTTGTGCTGCCAGTTGACAGCAGTCAGAGCAGATTCTTCACCGTGGCTCTGCTGCTGGGGGCAACATCTGAAGGGAACACACGCAGGCACTGGTGATACAGGACAGGCTGGATGTGCTGCCAGCCCTGCCCAGCCAGGAGGGAGTTCCTGGTGAGGGGGGTCTCACCTGAGCTGATGGATGCTGGTGATGGAGGTGAGCATCCCCTCTGCAGGCAGCCTGTCCTGGTCCCTGGATCACTGCACTGCTCAGAAGACTCGGCCTGATTGCTGACCGTGGCAGTGTGCAGTAAAGCACAGACTAAATCCTGCTGGGAGCTTTGGGACCTCTCTCTTGTGAGAGTGCCCGAGGGACTTGTGTGGTGAAGAGGCACCTAGTGGATGTGCCTGCAGGCAGGGTTTCAGTGTGACACCCCTGCCAGTCCCCAGGCTGGCCCAGAGGATGCCAACCATGAGCATTTGGAGTCTCTGACCCTGAGCAGCGGCAGAATCGCTGCCTGAACGCTTTCTGTGCAAATTAAGAGTTATGATTCAGTGTGATTGTTTTACTGCAGCGGCCCTTGGTGCCTCAGAACAGGGCAGATATGTTCTCAGGGACACAGAGGGGAAGCAGGATGAGGTGGGCTGCGGGCAGCATCCTTTTCTTAACCTGGGAACCACGACAGATGAAACTGTAAAGTCACTTTTCTGCATAGCCTGTAGCAAAATCGGGAAATGAAGCTGGATTTGCTGAGACCCAAGGCCTTTTAACCTCCCTATCCTTTTCTCATAGGAACATTTCTAAATAGCCAAAAGGATGCACCAGGCAGTAAACTAGATTTACAATTTTTTATTTTTCAAACAATGCTCTGAAATACTTTATCGAGCAGCAAAACTAATTGCATTCGCTCATCTCCCACTCCCACGTACAATACAGAGAGATTTTCTCCAGGATCATATTCCTTTCAAAAGGATTTTTTGTACCATGCTCTGCTCAGTGCCTTTCTGGGCAACATGTGCAGCCATTTGATAAATATATCGTGAAAACCACGGTTGAAGTGGCAATCTGCCTGCAGCAGAGGAGTAGCTACGGGGGAAAATGGTAAATAAGATATCTGTAAGTAAATTAATTTTGCTCATATAAGCTTGTTTGCAGCTTTGGTTCGTGTCTGCAGCATAATCCTGTGATCTACAGGAGGTGTTGGGCGTGGTGGGGGATCAGCGAGGGGAACATCGGGCCCAAAGCTGTGCAGGAGCTGGGAGAAGGAGCTTGTGGAGTTTGTTCCGTTGGGGTTTCCCGTCCCAGCGAGCTGTGGTTGTGTCCCAGCCTGACAAACTGCAAATCCACCATTGGTTTTGCCTCACAGAAGTTGGTGATTGCCTTTTGTACCGAGCTGATGCACAGTGAGACTGGTCTGTGTGTGTGACGGATTTGCTTATTCGCAGATCTTTGCTTTCCAATATGGTTTTGGAGGATTTATCAGTGAAGAGGAATCCTTCAAAACAGCAGAACCTGAAACAAAGCCCAGTTCTACACATGAACAATTGTTTCCTCTAAAGTCTGCTGGATTTTTTAGCCTACTTTTAGCAGCACTGCATTATTTTTGTGACGCCGTGCGGGTCTGTTTGTTTTGATCGGATAAACTGATTTATGGGGTTTATCTTCAGTTTATCTATTTAAGTTGTCAATTAGCTGCAGATTTATTTTGCAGCCTGTGCTGTGAATTAGAGCTGTGCTTCAGCTTTTGAGGGGGGTGACACCCTGGGGTGCCTGGCTTGGGTGATGAGGAGCTGTGCAGGTGGCTGATGGGGTCATCGCTGTTTGCTGGGACCTGGCTGCTCTTCCCAGTGCTTCTGGCCTTTCTTTCCTGTTGGCTGAGCAGCATGAGATGCCCAGGTGTTTTGAGTGAGTGACACTTCTGTCAGTGTGTTTTGAGCAAGCCTGCAGAAAAGATGGGAGAGAGGGAAAAGGGGATGAGCAGTGGGATGCAGGGAAGGACATCTCAGATTTGGATATTTCCTTTCTGTGACACCCAGTGCCCAGGGTGCCTCCCTGTGACTGGCACATCACCTAGGGGAAAGCCTCCCATCCAGATCTTAATCTGGTTTCTTTCTTGATATTAAAGGTTGCTTGAGCTTGGCTGCTGTGGGGGACAGAGTTCACTGCAGTGTGTTTAGCTGAGCATTGCTGGGCAGATTTGGGCCTGGCTTAACCTGTGCTCCTTGCCAAGTGTTGTGTGTGTTCCCAGGCTGATGCTGGAGGGGGCTTTTTGGACTCACCCCCACCCTTTCCTCACGTAAATGAAATGTAGATACAAGTTGTCTCTTGGCTTGCAGGGGTTTTATGCCCAACATGCTTTGCCTACGGAGAACCAAAGGTTGCAATATTTCAGGGTTAAGCCTACTCTGGAATTCTCTGGATGCAGGCCAGGATGCTGTGAGTAAGGCTAAGTTCTCCCCCACTGTCCCCAGAAACTGGGCAGAAGGATGAGATGATGCAGTGCTGCATCTTCAGAGGTGATTAAGGGTTGAGAGCCATGTGCTGCAGAGGATCATTTCCTGCTCTGGACTGTGCTGGGGAGACTGAAATCTGTTTTAAATTGAGACTGAAATTAGCATCCAGGAAACAGTGATTTTATGCAGCAGTTTTAGCTTTGTACTGTACTTTTTGTGTTCTGTAGGTCCTTTCCCAGGGAAAAGCTGATTCCCACATGCTGGAATCACTAAGCATTGTTGATTTGCACCTCAATATAGATTTTATACATGGTGGGCAGCAAGGTTAACGTGTGTTTGCACACACAAACTGTAACTGTGTGGGGCCAGGGGCGACCCTGGAACCAGGTTGGCTTTTAAATTCTGCCTTTGCTGTTGACCACATTGCAAATTACAGTGTGGGAGTCACCAGGCATGGCTTGACTTCCAGGCAGTTCTGTGACACTCTCCAAGGCCCTGCAGGGCAACAGAGAGACTACTGGGGAGCCCTAAATGGCCGTGGAGTTGTTGTTGTGCCTGCTGGGTTTGGGTACATGCCAGGAGCTCTTGTATCCTATAAATAAGAATTCAAGAGGTCAAGAGTTCAGTCCTTTACCCTCAGCTGCAGTTCCCCAGTCGCTGTGAGCTCCGGTTGGTTGTTGGTCTGGCTGCAGAAGGAGAAGTTCTCTTTAGCTGTGTCACTTGTTGCACATCAGGTAAAATCTCATCTTTATCACTTCCCTATCAAGGTCAGTGCCTTTTGATCTGAGTGTTTGCACCTTGTTTACAGCCTGCCAGTGTTTTGCCTTCCCTCTCTCGTGTGCTGGAAGAAGCCAGAGATGGCTGGCTCGGTGATGTCTGTGTTGAGTGAACATCAGTGCTCAGTTTAGCTCTGTTTGTGTTTCCTTTCAGGTGTTTCATGGAGCCTTTCCTCCATGCCCCATGCTGCCTGTGAAACTTAGTCCTGCTGCTCTCCACGGGGCCATCTGAGAGCACAGCAGCTGGACACAGCGATGGGGGACTCTTCGGGAAACGCCATGGATGGAGGCACGGACACACCGACTGAGCTGGCAGAGCGGGTCGCAGCCATAGATGTGTGTGTTGTCCCAGACAGAGGAGACCAAAATGGTGAAGATGATGCTGAAGAGAATGACACAGTGTTTTCTGATAATGTAAAGGACATCCAAAGAAATGGAGTCAACAGTGACGTGGGAATCAATGAACTTCTGCCTTCCCCGCAGTCAGAAGATGCCCAGTTGAGGCATGTTCCCAAGAGACCTCCCACTAGACCTGGTCTGTCAAGTAGGAAGCTGTCCCTTCAGGAAAGATCATCAGGAGGTTATTTGGCTTCTAGCAACACCCCAGGTTGTGGCCCTTATGCCACAGGACCGTCACCACGAATAATGAGGAGACCAACGATAGAGTCCAACCGGGTCTCCATCTCAGATTCTGAGGTAGGCATGTTCTCCCCTGCAGTTGTGGGGTAGAGATGAGCTCTTTCTTTACTGGTAATGGGAACAGTCTTTTGGAGCAGTAGATCTGAAAGCACTGTTATTTCTAAGGAGGAAAACAATCCCTGGAACCGTATTAGTTTGGAATGTCTCCAACCCCCAGGTCCTGGTCCTGGTCCATCCAACCCTGGTCCAGACATTTGGCTCCTTCAGCCATCACCTGCTTGGGATGGTCCTGCTAAGGACTGTTGTGTCATAGTAGAAGGCAGAAGGTCTTTCAGGTTGTTCAGAGAAAGGGCTGTGGCCAAATGGCTTTGCTCTCCCTTCCCTGCTGTGTGTGCCCTTTGGGAATTCATCAGTCACAGCAGCTCTGCTGATGGTATTTTATGGAATTAAACTTCTGGACATCATGTATCTCCTATTGTGTTTTGCCATAATTGAAGGCATGATTTAATTTTATAAAGAGCTTAAATGCACTGGAGTTTCCTGCTCCTGTCAGGGTTTTCCTTTGTCTTTAAAGCACTTTGTAACAGCAGTGGTAGCCAAGGGCTGTGACCCTCCTCTCCTTCAGAGGAGTGACTGGGGGGGCTGTGGTTGTTCCTGCCATCCATCTTCCAGCTGCTCTCCTGGTACCACACCTGTCCTGGAAGGTGTGACACACTGTCAGTGGTCGAGTGTGTTGATGGAAGCAGCTGCTGGTTGCAATTCCCAGTGCTGTGAAATGCTGTCATGGGGAGGACAGGGAGCAGAGAGAGGGGCTGCTCAGAGCACACTGCCCAGTGTCACGATAAAGATGCTGAGCCTGAAGCAACACAGGGACCCAGATCACTGGAGCTCAGACTTTTATGTGACCTGGAGCTTAGATCTTAGTGTGTGGCTTAGTGTTTCCCTCCTGAGGAGTGGGTGATTTCTCCTTGCACATCTGAGAGGATGGGGCTGTGCATGACCAAATCAGCCACTGTCCTCTGGGAAGTTGTGCAAGTCACATCAGCAGTGGGATGGGTTGTACATCCCCAGCTGATCAGAGGTTACCTGCAGAAGGGGCACTGCAGAGACTGCAGCTTCTTTGACAGCAGCCATATGCTTTAATAAGGGAGGCAGGGAGGGAAAGGAGCCAGGTCTTGGAAGCAGGACGTGACTTGAGTGCCAGCTCTCCCATCCTGCAGTGCTGTGACTGTGCCAGGAGTGAGGCTTGTCTGAAATCTTTCAGGGTAACTGCGGTTGAGTGTGACTGGCACATTCCCATCTGCAAGGAAATTCAAAATACTCCATCCTCTCCCACAGCATCTGCATCCTGGGGAGCTGCAGTTACTGCCTGGGGCTGGGAAATGCTTAGCTTGAAATGCAGATGTGGAGCCTTTGTGTTCCTCCCTGCTCCTGCAGCAGCTCTTTATGCAGTGCTGCCTTTCTAATGGTCACTTTGATATCATTTGATTGTTGGAGCCCTGCTCTGGTGCAGCCCAGCTGCTCAACAGAGCTGTTCTCATTGGAAACCATCATTCATATTTATGGGGGATCGCTGTGGTAGGAGGGGAGGGGAGCCTGGGAGAGAGCTGGGCTTGTTCTGAGGTGGGTGCTCGCCCTCACAGAGGTGCTCCTGGGAGTTGTGCTGCTTCTTCCCATACTTACAGGGATAGTACCTGTATCCTGTAAGGAACAGCAGAAGGACTAAGGAAGATGCATGTTTGGTTATAGGGTAAAGTTTGAGGCTGGGCACTGAGTCATGAGGAGAGAGTGTCGGTGTGTGACAGCAGGGCGAGTGTGCAGCCTGCACACAGCCCAGCTCCACGTCCTGCCTGTGACTCTCCAGGTGCTGCTGAGTGGTTTTTGTGTTCGTGGCTGTGAGAGGCACTGCCAGTCCAAGCCCGAGCTGTACAGCTGGGATACAGCAGGGCACTCAGAGAGAAATGGAGAGCAGATCGTCTGTTCTCTGTCAGGGCTTCTGAATTACCAGGGACTCTGTGTTGAGGGTTTTGGTCCTGTTGGGGATAAAATAAGCCTGTGAGGAGAAGTGCAGTCACAGTGCACTTAGCAGCTGCTGGTGTGTCTGTTGATCACTTTGATGCACAGATCCTCAGTGAGCAGGGAGGGTGGTGGGTCACTCTGACAGGATCCAGCTCACCGGTCACAACACTGCCCTGGCCTGCCTGCAGATGACTCTGTGACACACCTCGTTCTAGGCAAGCTGCACATTTGTATTCCAGTATGGGTCTCTCACCTGCCTAAAGCCCTTCTGGAGTTGCTCCTTTCTCCTTGCATTGAGTATCCACCACCATCAGTCAGTGCCTTCCAGGAGGCAGAGCATCCATCACTCCAGCTCGTGGCTGCTGCCTGAGTCAGTTACAGGCTGTGCAGAATTGGAGATGAAGCTGAGGAGCATTTGGGCTTTATCAGTGGCACCCGAGCAGGGACCATCCATCAGGAGCAGGGATGGATGGCACAGCTGCCTGTCACAATTTCCTGTTACGCCGATAGCCATCTCGGACTGAATCCGCTTCCCTCTTCACCCAGAGATAGCAGAGTGGCAGCTCCCTGCCTGCCTGTCAGTGATGCTGTACCCTGGACTGATCTGGAGAAATGATGGAGAGGTGTGATACGGGGCTCCAGCAGGAGGTGATTGTTCTGTTGTTCACTGATGAATTATGGAAGAACCCTGTGTTCTCTGGGAGAGATGCTGCTGAGCTTTTCAATGCTGCTTTAATACTTGTTCACGGGCTGGGAGGAAAACTTCTATCCAGGGATCAAGAGGGCCAAGAGCTGAGGGGAGATTCATCCAGTGCCACCAGCAGGCAGTGAATTGGGCTGTCCCATCACTGGCACTGATACCACAGACACCCTCCTTCCAAGTGCTTCTTGGGTTTGGCTTTAGGCAGATGGTGGCTCCTGGGCTGGCAGGGCTGCAGCAGGGCTGAGGATTGTTGTATTGCACAAAAACTGTTCCCTGTCAACCAGGGAGAGCCACCAATTAGCCAGTTGCCCCAGGACAAAGGTTGGCAGCTGCTGGTGTCTTGCAGCCACTGCTAAATCTGGATCTGGATCATTAACTCTGCAGGAGAAGTAACCTCTTCTGCTCTCCTGGCAGCGTTATTGTGTGCTTAATTAACCCCATCTGTCATATCTCTATCAAAAATTCATCTGTAATTTTAAAAATTCCCTGTTTGTTCCCCTCCTTTCTTAGATTATTCATGGGCTGTGGCCTGGAAGGTTCTCTCAGTGCTGCCTTCTCTGGCAGGAGTGCCTGGTGGGATTTCTTGCTACCTTTGCTGCCTATCAGTGCTTCTCTCTAACAAGGGAATGGCTTTGCCTTTAGCTGTGGCACAGAAGTGATTAGGCTGAAGCCATTAAGGGTACATAAAGCTGCAGAGCTGAGGCACAGGCCCCAGAGTTTAGGCTGCTGGCCCATTTTGCCTCTGTTGATGTGATGTTCCCAGCTCCTGCTCAGTGCTGGCAGCAAGGCAAGGGGAGAGGAGTTTCCTGAGGCTGCCAAAAGCAGCTTCTGCTGTGCTGCCCAGATGATGCCCCAGTGCTTGTATGTACTAGGAAAGGGCTGCAAAGGTCTTTGTGCAGAGTGGTGGGTGTTTTGTCACTGTGTTTGCCAGAACTTGTCCCATCTGAGATGGCAGGGCTTGATCTGTGAGAGGGCAGAGGTGCTGCTTGTTGGAAAGTGGCATTTGAAAGTGCAGTGCTGGTGTTTTGTTGATTTTTTTTTCTTTTTATTCTGTCATCCCAAACTAACCTCTTTAGGCAGCCAAGAAAAGTCTTACTTGGAGAGTGGCTAGGAGAAAAATAAAAGTTGTCTTTTTCTAGGCTTTCTCCCCAGACCTGCCAGCACAGTTAATTGCTTTATACCGTCTTTTCTCTGGTCTTTTCTGGCTGAATTGTCCTTTCCCTTTCACATGTTCCCTTTCTCTCCCTGCATCCTCCCACTTCCTGGCATCCCGGTTGCCCTCCCCCGGTGTCCACGTGGTCTCTCCACCCTCTGGGATCAGCAGGAGGCTGTTCCAGTTCCCCACTGCCTGGGCAGGTCGTGGCCGTGGGCTGGAGCCGTGTGTGCTCCAGCAGGGGTGGAGAGGATGAGTCAGGCTGGTGTGTTCTCCCTCCTGGATGCAGATGCTCCTGGCCTGAGCATGCAGGGAGGAGGATGAGCTGACAAAGGGAATTTTCCTAGGCTTGGTGTCCGTGGTTTACCGCAGAGGCATGGAAAATAAATCACTTCCTTCTCCTTTCTTTCCTTTTCTTTCCATAGCATTGTTGTAGCCCCCTGCTTGTTTGGCCAGCTGAAGGTTTGAAGGAACTGGTGGCAAGAGCTGAGAGGCAGTGCCTTGGTGCTGGGCTGATCCAGGTCTCAAACTCCTCCAGTCTCTGGGAGCTGCCCAGCTTTCTTCATAAAGTGATTTTCTTGCTGTGCACGAAGCAGAACTCGTGTGGGACCAGGGCTGAGCTCCTGCTCAGCATGGGCTGAGAGCTTCCCCTTCCCAGCCCCACGAGTCCCTCAAAGGAACTTCTTCTAAAGATCTTACTGTGCTGCTCAAACCTGAGCTCTCCTGAAAAGATCAAAGATACTTGCAAAACATTTCTTCAAAAAGACTTCCCCCACAGGCATTGCTAATTCCTGTTCCTTTGGTTAATTAACCTTTAAATAAAGTTACATTTCCAACTCCTCCAAGGGTAAGGTTTGAGAGGAGGAGAAAGCCCAGAGCTGCAGTTGGAGAGGGGACTGCCTTGCCCCCACTGATCCCACTCCCCCTTTTTAGCCACTCTCCCAGCAATATTCCAGGGAACTGGTGAGTGCCCAGGATCCTGCATCCAGCTCTGGGGTGCCAGGTGGGTGCTGAGCTTTGTGCCCAGCCATGGCCAGTGCTCCTGCAGCAGTGCTGGGCTTTCTGCTTTGCATTTGGGTTTGGATGTTGTTTAAAAATCTGTTTATTTTTCTTAAACTCCATGAGGTCTGGCTTTCCTGTCCGTCCTTCTCTGTCCCTGAACAACTTTCTAATTTGTATTCATTGCTGCCCTTAATACCCATTTTCTGGTCTTCATTTTCATTTTGTCTGGTTTTAGAAGCTCTTTCATTTCCCCTTCCAGGCAGGATGAGTTTAAAACACTATTCCTTCATTACTGGTTTTAGTTCCCACTTTTTTTTCCTCCCATGCTTCTCTTTAATGTGTATTTCTGAATTGCTGAAAATTGTAATTCTTTTCAGATTGGTGAATTTAGCTGCTTTTAGTGGGCAAAATTCTCCATTATACCTGTACGTGTGTAGGCAGTCTGATTGTTTTCAGAAATGTCTTATTTTGGATATCAGTGCTGGTTCTTCCTTCCAATCCCTGCATCTCCCCCAGGACAGCAAAGGCTCAATTCTCAATTTTTCAGTGTTTCTGTCACCCAGTGGTAGCCACAGTGGATTTATGGAGTTAGGCCTGAGCTCTGGACTGAACTGTGCTTTATGATTTTTGACCAATTTTTGTTTTCTGTGGCATTAATTGCTCCTCTTCCCCTCTTGACTAGTACCTTGGGCATGTTAACAAACGGGGCATCTTGTTTTTTAAGACAAAACAATTATTGCTCACTTGGACGGACTGAGTCTAATTTGCTGTCAGCTTTTCATTAAAGCATCTCATTAAGGTTCTTGCTCTGTTTGTATTTATCAGCAGTTGGAAATACATTGGCGTGATGAAATCAGGAGAACTGTACAACGTTATCTTAAAGAAACACTTGGCCCAGAGATAGGTGTTCCTCTCTGATAAAGGAATTGTACAATTATCCCACTTCCTGCAGGAGAACCAAGGAACATAATAGCAGCCCAGCCAGTCTGCAGCAACACGTGGCAGGAGCTGCTTGAGCTGTGAATTATGATCTTTCAGCCAGGAAAAAAAAAAAACAACTAGGTAGGAAACACCTATAAATGTGGTTTGATTTTGCTGTGCTCAGCTCAAGTGCTGGAAGCAGGGCAGAAGCTGAAGTGTGATGGTGCTTCTCACCAGGAATTACCTGAGTGGAGAGGGATGGAGGTGAGGACCAGGTTGGGATGTGGTGACAGTGTGAACTCTGGGAGGTTGTGCTGCAGACCCTGACACCCTCTCTGGGTGTTCCCCTCCCAGTATTTACCCACCCCTTTCAAACAATCATCCTCTGAAAACGGGTGGCCTGGTGTTGCTCACAAGCTCCTTTTAGCAGTAGTGAAACACCAGAGAGGTGCTTCAGGTGATCAGTCTGGTGTGGGATAAGAGTGGTGATTTCTGGTCAGAGGTAAGAGGGGTGGTGGCAATGTGATGGTCAGAATCAAAGGAATTAGACAAAGGAACAGGGCACACTCCCTCCTCAGTTGCACTGAATGCTTTGTGAGGGGCTTTGTATCCAGCACAAAGGACTGTGATCCTTGAGGATGAAGGGAAAAGATGCCACTGTGGCTGCCTTGACAGTGTGTGGGCAAGAAGCAGCAGCTCTTGGTGTTTAGAGATGCCACCTTGGCTTGAAACAAGGTATTGAGTGCAGACCAAAAACTCTATGGCTACGTGTGGAAGGCTCCATTTACTCCTGCAGATAATCCCTACTCAGGGGAACAGGTCTGATGACAGGACCTGGTCATTGCAAGCTTGCTGGTTTGAAGAGCAGGAGATGTGAGGTGGTTGGAGTTTTCCTGGAGGAGTGGTTGCTTTTCCTGCCTGCCCCAGCCTCTCCAGTGAGCATTTCCCCATCTGCAGCACTGCAGTTTCCACAGGACAGGGGAGGGATACAAAGCTGAGCACAGGGAAACCAGGGCAGGAGGAAAAAGCTTCTTTCACTGGTGACAAGGTGGATTTAATCATTCCTTGTATTCCTGGCAAGCCACTGCTTACAGGCTTAAAAGGTCATCAGTGCCCCATTTCTTTATTCTTCACTGTGATGGTCATTTGTGTTAGGAATGTTTTCTGGTTGGTGATGGGGGAAAAATCAAATTATCATCTACCACATCCATGCTGCATCCCAAGAGGCAGAGGAGTGTTGCTGTCAGTGGGAATGCAGCGTGGAGCAGGCACTGTTCTACACCCCTGTTCTTACAAATGGACTGCAGGCATCTGGCACTGCTTTTACGTTGTGGTGAACCCCATCATGACACCTCTGTCACAGCTTGCTGGGGGTCTGCATCTCCCACCCCTTGGGGTTTCAGTGCTGGATGCCTCACCAGCAGAGATCAGACATGCTCAGGGGTGATTTATCATAGCAAATATTCCCTCAGCTGAAGGGAATCCACTCTTGTTTGTGTTCCATGGCAGAGGAGCTTGGCTTCGTGTGCTGTCCGTGAAGAGAGCCCACCATCCACTTGAGGGTTCCTTTGGGTGCAGCCACACCCACATTCACGGCTCCAGAAGGTGCCTGTCTCTGCCAGGCTGATGTTGGGAAGGGCACAGGCTCATGCTGTGACCCTGGGGTTGGGGTGTGGGAATGCCCTGGGGAGCTGGGCATGGGGTTTTCCTGCTTGGTACTGACACAGTGCAGTAGAGAGGGTCAATGTAACCAGGAATGGGGCTGCTGTCAGGCTCCCTGGGCTGAACCTGGAGCCATGCTGGGGAACTGGGGTGGTTTTACACCAGCACAGCCTAAATCACAACTCAGCCCATGATTATTTTGTAAAAAAAAAAAATAAAATTTAAAAAAGCACAGTGCTTATAGTGTCACATACACCAGTTTAAATAAGATTAAGTCTTTCATTATTTAGCACTCTGCCTCTACTTGAACCTGATTCAAACTCAGTCATTTCCTTTACCAATACTCTAATTATGTTCTCCTTTTGATCTGCAGGACTGTGTGCAATTAAACCAGTACAAGCTGCAGAGCGAAATAGGCAAGGTAAGGACTGGAGCTTGTGTTGGGCACAGGCAACCTGCGTGTGCACACACAGGTGGGAAGGCTGTGCCAGCCCAAGGGACCTCACTGACCAAGAATCTTTGCAACTTGTGTTTGTTCTGGAGGGGTTTTGTTTGGGTTTTTTGGGTTTTTTTCCTTGTTAGTTTGAGCAAGCTTTATTCAAGGTCAAAGTGGAGCTACTTCCTCTGAAATCTAAATTTATTTTTCCTCCCTCGGAAGGTGGTTAAGCTGGCTCCCTTCCAGGGTGTTTGCTTGCCAAATGTAACACTAAGAGCCTTTGATGCATTAATACAGCACAACAAGGAAAGTTTGAAAAAGAACAACAAAAATAAGATGAGGGCAGGTGTTTGGTCCCCATCAGGACTAGGTAAAGTTCGTATGTCGTATGAAATGCTCCTTTAATACCAGTGCATGTTTAAAAGCTGCAGAGTGGTTCAGAAGAGATTGCTCCAAAGTTATTTAGAGGTCTGGGCTGGTGAGCAGCTCAGACACCTGCACATTTGGACGTCTGCCACCGTTGCAGATGGGTCCAGGAGTGGTGGTGCTGCCTGGAAGCTGTGCCTGCCTTTGCAGCTCGGGATGCAGTCCCTTCTGACTGCAATGTTCCAACTGCAGAGACCTTCACCAGCAGTTTCATCAGCCCAAACTCCTCTCCAAGACGAGAGGCAGTGGGAGGAGGAACCCTTTCCATCTGTGTGGTGGGCTGTGCTGGCAGGCAGCGAGTAAGGCTGGAGATGCCACTGCTGCTGGTACAGCAGGTGCCATCCCAGACTCAGCTTCAGACCCATCTAGGGCCTTGTCATTGGCTTAAGTGCGAAGGAGAGTGTGAGACCTTCTCTCAGGTGGATTTGCACTTGCCTCCTCCTTCCCTGAGGATCACAGTGAGGTTGGTAGAGGGTCTGCTGGCCCTGCAGTGTGTGCTCCTGGACCAACCAGATGGCTTACTGGTCTCCTCTGAGACCAACACCTTGTTCCAGCTTTTAGTGAAGTCAAGAGAAATGTTTTGAAGGCTCTGGTGTTCATCCCACTCGTTTATTCAACAGGCATCTGTCAGGGATGGTAGCTAGCCATGGTGTCATGTCTGGCTTGCATAAAATGTTTAGTGTTGACACAGAACTGCGAGAAAACAGTGATTTGGATGGAGTTTGGCTTCAGGCTATCACTGGAGCTGAGGATGCAGCAGCAGTCCAGGTCTGCACCTGCCTGGGCAACATGTGGTTGGTGGAAGGCAGGCAGGTGGTCATCACTGAAGTCCATTTGCTGTCAAGGGATGGAGAGGTTCTGTGCTGAAGGTGGTTTAGTGCAGCAGTACGGGAAAGGTGTTTGTGCAGACTTTCCGAATTTGCACAAAAAAATATCGACTTGAAAATTGTGCTCCCCACCCATGTTTGAGTGCAGACAGACACAGTGGCTTTGGCTCAGGGCAGGAGGTGATGGGCTAACAGGAGATAATCCTTCAGTGCCCAACAGAGCTGCCAAAATGTACAACCTCGCTGTGGGGTCACGTCACCTGCAGGCTTTGCTCAGGGGTCAGCGTGGCCTGGGGCCTCAGAGTTGTTTTTTACCCTGTGTAAAGCTGTGTTCTACCAGCCTTGAGCAGCAAGAGGCCAAGGTGAAGCTGCTGAACTGACTGTGCAATTGGTGTTTATTTTTAGGGTTCCTACGGCGTTGTGAAACTGGCCTACAACGAGGACGACGACAAGTATTACGTAAGTGTGTCCCTCCTCTGCTCCTCTTTGCTGCTGCTGCTCCTCACTCCCCTTCACCCCCCTGAGAGCTGGGTCCCCTCTACCTCGCTCCTTTTAGCCCGTGCACTTGTGATTGGTGTGGAGTGCGAGGAGCTGAAGGTCCTGCTGGGCGTGGAGCCGCTCTGCGCGTGCGGTGCCGGGCGGGAGCGGAGCGGATCGGGTGGGCTGCCTTATGTAACGGGAGGGATCTCGGAGGCAGGAGCGTGTCTCTGATTTGTCTTGACATTTTCTAGCTATGAAGCAGGTCACCTGAAATTAGAGGCGTGTGGGTGGTGGTATTCAGCACCTGCTGTGCATTGGAGGGTTGGCCTGGAATGAGCAGGCGTGTTTTGTGAGGAAACGGGGGCGTTTATCAGAAAGATGCTGAACAGCGTGGCCTGGCTGGGCAAGGCTCCCTTGGAGGGGGATCTTACCCCCTTGGGTGGTGACTGAATGGGGCCTCACTGTCAGGGCATGAGGTGCAGGGTGCAAGGCAGAAGCCAAACCTTGTTTAGCTGAGAGCAGGAGCTGGAAGGAAGGAAAAGTCCCTTGCTGTGTGTGTGGCTGTGCCTGGAGGCTTCTGGAAAGAGCTTCCAACAGTTTCTGATGAATCCAAGGACAGGAATTAGATGAGCAGAGCTGGGTGGTTGCAGTGCTGTTGAACCTGAGTCCTGCTGCTCCCAACACAGCCCTGCCAGAGCTGCTGCTCCACACTGTGTTTGGTGGGAGGGTCCTGCTGTCGCTCCCATGCTGGAGTGACCTCACGTGGGTGAATTTTCCAGTGTGGCCCATCAGAGCACCCAGGCAGGTTCATGTGCTGTTCCCTGTCCCTGCTGGCTTTTGTACAAAGGGGAATTAAGATATGCTGTGGATTGTAAAGCATCCTCATTCCCTGCTATTCCCCAGTGGGTTTTCCTCCCCGACTCTTGGATTTACAAGTGACATCCCAGGTCGAAGGGGTCAGGTGGAATTATATGCCTGTGGGTATTCCTTAGCCCTTCTGTGCTCCCAGCAGGCATGACATTGCAGGAGGAATGTCTTGAAATGAGGGATGGAATTGTTGAGACAGAAATCTGGAGAAGGTGCCCTGGAGCTGGCCAAGCAAGGGAACCACAATTCTTTCCATCTCCTGTCCTTTCCAAGCTGACTCACCACTGCACCGGAGCGGTTGGTGTTTCCAATGGCTCCCTGTCTCTCCTGCCCTCCAAATCCTCCTTCCCCTGCCCTGCAGCAGGATGATCTGTTCTGCAGGGAGTGATGGTGCCAGCCATGGTTTCCCTGACCCATCTGTCCCACCAGGACCAGCAGCACAGAGTGGGAACACATCGCATCAATAATCACATTGACTTCCAGCTGAAAATATTTTCGCTTCTAAAATCATAATACTTGCATTTTGGCACTGCCCTTTTGATCTGGGAATCCTGTTGCTGTCCCTGTGGGCTGCCCAGAGTGGGCAGGGCAGCTGGCACAGCTCGGCAGGGGAGAGCTGGGGTTGGGACAGCACTGCCTGCTGCACTCCTGTCCGTGTTTTGGGTGCAGATTAACGCCGTGGATGTAGATTTAGCTGGTCAAATCCAAGCCAAAAGTGAAAGCCTGTGACCAGGGTAGCCTGGTGTGTGTTAGTTAATCCCCACTTAATCTCTGTTTCTAATCTGAGCAAACACTTTAAAGGTACTGCAGCCCGGGAGGGGCTCCCGTGCCTGGGCGGTGTTTCAGCCTCGCTACCCAAAGCAGGGCAGGGCATTGCAGACCCCCTTCGTGCCAGCACTGCAGGGATGTGCTCTTTGGTTTGCCCTGATCTTCCCTTTGGGGGCTTGAGGCAGGGTCTGAACCAGATCCCAGCTGGCTGTGAAGGTGATCCTGGGAGGTGTATGGAATTCTCCAGCAGATGGAGAGGTGTCTGCCTGTGCTTGGTTGCAGTGGGTGTCAGCATGTGGGAGAGGGGCTGTGCTGCTGCCAAGAGGCTGAAGTCAGTGTCTCATGTACTTGCTACCCTTTCATCTGGGGCAGTGGGACCTTTCCCAGCTGCAGTCACATGCAGACAGCCTGACCCCCCTAATCCTCCCAGGTGCCCCATGCCTGTGTTCTCTGGGAGTGTGAGCTGTGATGGAGGCACCTCTGCTTCTGCCGAGACATTAAACCAGCTCAGGAGCTGGCAGACTTTTCAGAGCTTCAGAGAAACAGTGCCAGTTGCATAACTTGGCTAATGGTTGCTGAGCTCCCCAGGCTGCCCGATGTGCCTGACCCTCGTGCTCTCCCAGGGAAGGATGAGCAGAGCAGGATGGAAATTGTCTCTGGGAGAGCTCTGGGAGAGCTCTCCCAGAGACAATTTCCATCCTGCTCTGCTCATCCTTCCCCTGCAGAGCTGCTCCACAGCAGTGCACCCCGACCCCACAGGGGGTACCTGATGGACCTGCCTGGCACCAGCAGCTGGCAGTAGCAATTTTGATTCTAATAGCTGGAGAGGGCCTTTTCTGTGTGGGTTTTTTTACCCCCTAAATTTAGCTCTGGGACAGTGCTTTTTGTCTCAGTTGTGAAAAGCACCATTGGAAGAAATCAACCCTTGGTTGGTCTTTAAGTGAGCAAGACCAGGTTGGACAGGGCTTGGAGCACCCTGGTCTAGTGGAAGGTGTCCCTGACCACAGCAGGGGGTTGGATCTACATGATCTTTAAGGTTCCTTTAAGGTCCCAAACCATTCTATGATCTGATGATTCTGTAACTGATTGATGTTTGCAGTGGTTTAGCATGAGGCCAGGGTGTTGCTGCCTGCTTTATTGTCTTTAAGCTGGTGTGCTGCAATAAAAAGGAGCAAAATGGTAAAGAAAGCAGAAAAAACTTTATTTTGGCATGTAATTCAGAGTGTGGCTCCTGATTCATGCTGAGGTGTGGGGGCCCTTTGGTAGCTCTCTCCAAAAAGGCAGAGTTTATAGGTACCAGGGACTGAACCTGGCTCCTTCTGAAGCAAAAGGAAAGGTTATTGCTGCTTTAATGAGTTTTGGATCTGGCCTAGAATTAGGAAAAACTCTCAAGAAAATATCCAATCACTACATTTGGGAAAAATGTAGATGGGTCATGTTTACTTAGTGGGTTTTTCCCCTTCCATTAAAGATGAGAGAGTGCTTCTAAGAGCTTCACCCCTCCTTGCTGTGAACAACCCCAGTGCCAGGGAGGGCTGTAAAAGTGTGCTGAGTCGCATCAGCAGATGCAGGGAATGTGTCAGACCAAGGAAATGGAACTTTCAGCACCAAGTACATGACCCAGTGCTCCCCTCCAAGGAGGAGACCCCACTGGAATGCCGAGCTGGCTCCCAGAGCAGAGGACCCTGCTGCTCCTGGGGCACACAGAGCTGTTCCAGCAGCATTGGTGGGGCTCTGCCAAGGAACCCTTTACACTGGAAAGGTTTCAGTGTGTCTCAGTTTGCAGGAGATGCTTTGAGAGTGACTAGGAGGGGAACAAAAAGAGAAGCTGAGCTCTGGGAAAAAGCAGCAAATAAAAAGCAAAGGCAGATGTGTCCAGGCAGAGATCTAGTTTGGAGTCATTGTGCTGATGGAATTTGATTCTGTGATGCCTCGGGTCATGTCTCCCTGCAATTTTCAATCTCTAAATCAGCTTGCAAAGAGAGGTGCTTATGATGGACATTTGTTATGCTACTGCAGGAATAAGACATTGTAGGTTGTCAGTGGGGTTTCTTCTTTTTTTTTTTTTCTTTATCCTTTTTAAATCTGGTTTCCTAAGAAACAAGATTTGTGTGACTGTGCTCTCTGTCTCTGTTTGTACCTATGCATGGAGGGCTGTTTTCTACCAAGTCCCACTGATGGGGAGAAATTCCTTCCAAGTTTATGCAAGCACTGGCTGAACAAAGTGCTGCTGAGGAGAAGGTGGCCAGCAGCGAGCCTTGAACTTTCTAGCCCCTGGGGAATCCACTTTGGTCGCCATCCAGGTGGGAAGGGAAGGCACAGCTCCTGTGTTTCCCGTCCTCTTGCTCACATAACAGCTGCTGAACCACTGCCAGCTGTGCTCCGGAGTGGTGAGGACCTGGAAAGGGATCTCTGGCTTGTCCAGCACCCTGTGTTGTTCAGCTCTGGGGTTGTGAGAGGGGCTGGGCCACCTGGAGTAAGAGCAGGATCTTCTGGGAGGCAGCTGGAGGCAGACAAGCGTGGCCACTCCAGGAGGCCATCCCTGCTGTGGTGGCACAGTATGGGTGGAATTCTGCTGATGGAATTCTGCTGCTCTTGGGGAGGAAGGTGACAAATTCAGGAGCAGGATTTTAGGGTCATGGCAGCTCAGCCTGTCTGGTTTAGGGTTTTCTTTCAGTTCATAACACTCCTCTCTCCCAGCAGAGCTTCCCTCTCAGCCACTTTATCTGAGGGATGTCATTGTGAGGAAGGACAGGTGAGGAAGGGCTGGGAATGCTCTCTGTTCTGTTCAGCATTCCCAGAGTGTGCCCTCATGCACTAGCAGAGGATTTAGGTGGTAACATCAACCTTTGAGTATCATCCCACTCCCCTGGGAGCTGCAGGCAGGGACTGTGCCCAGGGCCTCTGCCCTTGCAATGCAGGTCTCTCTGTTAGCAAATAAAACGACATCCTAAGCGCTGTGAGAGGACCACAAAGGACAGGTGGGAAGTTCCCTTGGTTCAATCACGTTGTCACCCTTCCCTCCCAAAACTAATGGCCATTTTCTGGTTGTCATCACCAGCAGCTTGTGGTCTCACTGTTGTGAAAGCTGCTGTATGCCAGCTGCTGTATCCCTTCTCTCCATAAACCTGGGATCTCCTTTCCCTCAGGCTGCCCCGTGGTTTCCAGCTGTGAGGCTGATAGGAGGCGAGCAGTAAACTTAAAGATAACAAACATACATCAAAGAAAAGTACACAGTCCCTGCTGCCTCTCAGAGGGAAATGTCAAGGCCTGTGGTGTCCACGTGTGAATAGTCGGAAGGAAGATGTTTGCAAGGGCATGTGTGGAGGAAATCTCCAGGCTCCCTCTTTTCCTGAGGAGGCTGAAGCAACACCTGCCTGTGCAAAGGGAAAATCCCTCAGCTTGGCTCCAAGCTGGTTCTTTGTCAGAAAGGCATTATCTGGGTAATTAGCTCTGCCTGGGAGTGCAGATGTCTTTGGCTCTGTGAGCCGGGAAGGAGAGGATTGCTGGAGCATCCCTGAGTGGCTCCTGTCACACACAGCCACCATTCAGGAGGAATCCTGGGCCTGCCAGCTCCCTGCAATTAGACTGAGGCTTCACAGCCCCGTGCTCTCCTCTCTGCTCTTGTGGTAATTAAGTGGCTCTGGCCTGTTGTGTGATGAACTTTGCTTTTTTTGTCCCCTCTTTGAGTTTGTAAGTGCAGTGGGACAGGTCCTGTCTTGTGACCCAGCCCTGCTTGTGCAGTAGCGGGTCCTGGTGCTTTGAAACTGGTGTAAACCTGTCCTGGTGCTGCTTCTCCAGCAGTAAGTGGTGCTTTACACTCAGCTCACCTACAATACAGTAACCCCCCATCTCCCCTCATCCTTCCAGGAATTTGGGTGACACCAGGAGCTCTTGTTCCCTCCATTTCTGCCCCTGAGAGCAATCCTTGTCTTTGCTATTGCTCCTCTCTGTGCCTTCCTGCTCCTTCCAGCCTCTCCCAGAGCCTGTCCTGGGAAGGACTAAGCTGATGTGGGCATAGCTGGTGTCAGTGGTTCAGTTCCTCAGGCTGAGTCCCCCAGGCACTGATGCAACCTGGGAGCTTTCAGCAAGCAAATCACATCTTCATCTATTTTTCCTTCTTCCTAAAGCTCCTTGCCGGAAGGCAGGAGGACTCGAGATGGAACTGGAGCAAGGAGAGCCTTCTCCTCCTGGGTTGGCAATAGTTGAAAGGGAAATGGATGTATCAATTCCTTTGATTTTTCTCATAAATTTTCATTATGGAGAGATAAAAGTGGGGAGTGTAGGAAGGCCTCCAGGCTTGGTCCTGGCTGTATTTGGAGGTGGCTGAGCAGATCTTGGATCCTCTTTCAGCAGACCATGACTCATTTGGCTCTGTGTTGGACACAGTGCTGTGCTAAGTGAAAGATAAGCATTTCTGAGTCTGTCTCTCAACACCATCGTTCCCAACAGTTGGCTTGGAGCTGTCAGGCAGGATTGAGAACCACACAATGTCTCTTCTCAGTTACACGGGTGCAAATCCAGAGGATTTCACTGGATCACTACCAAAAATAACAATCCTGCCAGCGAGCCATGAACCTGGCTGCAGCAGGAGCACTGGTGGGAGGTGGGGATCCCAGGGCATGTGGTGGCATCGCTGCCAGGAAAAACAGCTCGGGAAGGAGCTCCCTGAAATGGTTTTGGTGACCTGTCCCTGGTGTAGGTGTTAAAGCAGGGAGTGTGCACTGAGCCTGCCTCTGTGGTATTAATGCAAAATTCCTTGGCATTTGACTGTGTCCTGCTGGTTAATTGTATTTTGCTAGGATCACTCCAGTGTGAGTTACAGATCTGGAGGCTTAATTAGTAGGAGTAACTGCTGGTTCTAGGGGAAGGAGTGAGTGGCCATCCCAGCTTCTGTAAGCGTAGGCTGCTTTCCTAAGCAAATGGTTCCATGAGCTGCTTCCTCATGAAATATTTATCTGCTGGGCCACTCGGGGCTGTTTGAGTGGCCCTCCAAAAAGGTTATTAATGCAGGGAGCAGATGGAGGCACAGAGACTGTTTATTAAATTCGGATTGCCTTTTGCCACTGTGCTGATGCCAACTGGACGGCAGAAAAGGTTACCCTGAGCCCCTCCCACGCCTCAGCTGCCCGGGTTCACAGCAGTGCCAGCCTGTGATGGGGTGTGAGAAGGGAGGGAAGCCTTTGGCAAAATCCAGTCCCTGATGCCCAGCACACTCCCAGCACTCAGCAATGTGCACTTTGGCTCTTGGTCAGTTTTAACGCTGCTTTTTCTTCTTCCTTCAGGCTATGAAAGTCCTCTCCAAAAAGAAGCTCCTGAAGCAGTACGGATTTCCACGTGGGTATCTCACATTTGGAGGTCTGCCTGCTGTTCTCAGCCAGGAAAATCTCTCTGCAGAAGCGTTATCTGCAAGGACTGCAGACCTTGGCCTCACCTGAAAGCTGCCCACGTAGTTTGGGGCTGGTTAAAATGCCATTCTGTGTAGTGAAGGGGCAGATTCAATACTCTCAGTAGTTTGAGTCCTGGCTCTGATTTTTGTGAGTCTCTTTGAAATGGTGACTCTTCCCATGCTCCCCATCTATGAAACCTGATTAAGTGCTGGAAGTTAGGCAGGGTAGTCCCCCTTCTTCCAGAGGCTCTGCTACCCCCTGGGATAGCACCTGGCTGGGCCATGGGACCCCCAGACCAGGCTGGGAGGAGCTGATCTGAATGAGGCTTGGAAATCTCAGTTCCAGGTGGGAGATTGTGATGGTTTGGGATGAGAGCAAGGGGATGAGATGTGGCAGAACAGCTGGAGGTGTCTGCAGAGGGGCCAGTGGCTGCCCATCCTGGGAAGGGTTCTTCACTGTGTTGTCACACTTGCAGGTCGGCCTCCTCCCAGAGGGTCGAAAGCGTCCTCTGGAGAGCAGCCCAAGCCCATGGCACCACTGGACAGAGTCTATCAGGAAATAGCCATCCTAAAGAAGCTGGACCACATCAACATCGTTAAGCTGATAGAGGTGAGCAGCTCCTCCACCCTGAGCTACGCTGAAACGAGTCTGGTTTGTGTTGCAACAAGAGGATCTTTCTTCAACTGCCCCTACTGCAGCCAAAATTGGTTTCACATAGTTGTTCAGAAGTTCAGGCTGGTGATTCCAAGCAGGATCATACCAGTTATGAAGGACAAACTGACACACTTACCCTGGGCTGTGGGCTGGTGCCCAAGAGAAGGCAGCTCTCTCTGCTGTTAGAAACAGCAGCGAGCTTTGATCACTGAAACCTGTGTGCAGACCAGCCTGGGAAGGTGCACAAGTGCAAGCTTTTGGTGCCTTTTTCATTGTTGACTGAGGTCAGGTTAGGACAAGCAGTGCCTTTATTGGTAGGCTGTTTCTCCAGGCAGAAGCCCAGATTTTTCTGGAGACAGGAAAATCTGTGTCCTTCAATGCCTCTCTCTCTGCAGGACTCTCTAAATATTGGTCTGAGTTGTTCTCAGTGCTCTGCAGTGCACAGTGTGCAGGGAGCAGTAAAACCTTACTCCATTAAATATCTCTTATTTTTCCTGCTGTTTTTCTTTTTCCCCTTCCCCCTTATTTCTCTGTTATCGATTACAGGTCCTTGATGATCCTGCAGAGGACAACTTGTACATGGGTATGTGAATCTCATAAACTCACAGAACCATCTGGGCTTACACCTAGTGCTGCAAGTGGCACATACCAGGGCCCAAACCTAACCCAAGCTCTCCCTGAGGAGCCAGAGAACAGTCCCAGCAATGGCAGCAGGACAGGTGGGGAATCTCTTGGGGTTCTCTGCCTTGGATCCTGTGAGTGGTTCAGGCAAATCAAGCTCCTGCCTCTGCAGTCCCTCAGCAGAAGGGGAAGCTGTGGGTGCTCAGCACTGCTCAGGACTGAGACTCCTGCAAGAGGCTTCCTCCCTCCTGCTGCTGACCCAGGGGATGACAACTGCACCTTTCTCCCTCCAAAAATGCCCTCCCACTGCAAAGCAGATCTAGAGGAAGTGGTGTTTGTTCTTTGTTAATGATTGCTGGCATCAAATACTCCTGTGAGTGCTTGGCTGCATGGGCATGGGAAGGAATCTGGGATGGAGGGTGTCTGTAGGCACTGAGCAATCTGCAAAGATACAGGATGGTTGAATAATGAAATGTTGCCACAATCCACAGCTTCTTCAGCCTGGAGGGCAAGATGAGCCAGTGCAGGCTGCCCTGTCGTGTTTGTACCTTCAGAGGACCTAACACCCCACCACAGGGCTGCCTGGTGCTTTGGGGAGGGGATCTGCTTGGATTTCTTGGGAGATGCAAGAAAGCCCTTTGTAACTCATGAGGAAAGAGCTCTCCTACTCTATAGAATAAAGGCAGATCCTTCTCCTGTTTGCACAACAGGTCAGACCAGGATCACAAAACCACATTGCCACTAACCCCCTAAACAGACACACAAACTCATGTGCTCTGCAAACCTTACTCAGCTCACACCAACAAATCCTCTCCGGTTGCTCCTGACGGGGAGTGTTTGCCTCTGCCAGACCTGTAGCTGTGCTGCTGATTGACACAGCAGAAATGGAGCAACGTGTTCTTACAGCATCTCGTTCAGTATCAGCAATTTAGCAGAAATATCACACCAAACATCCTCCCTGAAGGTACTGAATGCATCGGGGCTCAAATCAGTGAGGGCTGACAGCGGGAGCAGCAGGGTTGATAAATTAGCCCCCGCTGTCTCTCTGTGCAGAGCTGGCAGGACGGGGGAGATTTGTCTGTGCTGAAGAGATGAATGTTTTCATTTTGCATCCTCTGGTGTCCTTGTCATGGGTAAGGGAAGAGAGATGAGTGGAGGGTAAATTGATTTTGTAGATACAGGAATGGATGTGTTTTTGTAGGTGGTGAATAACGAATAAGCCCAGTCTGCTCTTCTTCATTCATGGTTTATTTCCTTTTCTTGCAGTGTTTGACCTCATGAGGAAAGGGTAAGTAGCCCTCCTGGGATCCTTTTGGTTGAAATTTTTGATGTTCATCATTAGCTTCCCAGGTGAAATGGAGGTTTGATGCATCCAGTGGGGCAGACCTCTGTCTGTAGGCCCAGGGGAAGCAAAACCCAGCTGTAGTTGCCTTTGCTCTGCTACAGCCTGCAATGATGTGGTGAATAATAATGGGCTGGGAGGACATGTCCTGGTGTCAGGCTCGGATTCAGAAAACAAGTTTGATGCCAATTCCCCCATCAGGTGCCTGGAAGGAAAGGTTTTAATGGGAATACTCTGCTGGGGCTTCCCCTGGCACAAGGGGTGTGTGGTTGCATTGAGATTTACTTGCCATCCACTACCTTATTTTGCCCCCAGCACTAACCTGTCGTGGGAGGCTGTTTTGTTGACACATTTCCATAGCAGGAGAAGTGATAAAGTGGTGGGAGGCCCCTCGCTGCTTTTTGCTGCACCTGCACTGATTCTGCAGCTCTGCAGAGTCACAGCGAGGTCGGGAGAGCTGTGCCCAGCATGAGGGAGATTCCCAAAGGGCTTGTTTTTCTCTATATCCCCATGACTGAGGTTGCAGGCTGCCAGCTGCTGGTGAGAGGCTCCCCAGTCTCCCTGGTGATGCCCATCCTGAAGGAGAGGGAGCTCCTGTAAACAACTGTGTCCAGGGAACATGTGGCTCGGCCGAGAGCAGCCTGGCTGCCTCCAGCAGAAGGCAATTAGACTCCATTAGTGGCTCTGCCAGTCCTGCACTCACATCATTTCTCCCTGGTTTCAGCAACAGGAAAATGTGTTTGAACAGGGAGGGAAGGCAGTGGCAGGAAAATGCAAATGGGAGATGAGGGTCATCAATCAAATGGGCAGCAAGGGAGAAATAAAAAGTGCTGCAGGAAGGATCTGCTGCAGGGTGCTGAGGGGAAGAGCTGCAGAGCCTGGTTTTTGGTAATAGGCTGTTCCCTGCCAGGGTTTGGCTTGCCAGGACAGTGTCTCAGGAGCACTCACTTAAATCCAGCTCGAGTCAGTGGGCGTGCATCCAAATGCAAGGTCAATCTGCTGAGCACAAGCAGGATTAACCCCCAGTGCAGTGAAGTCCTTAGCTCCTGCCATTTATCCTCTGGGGAACAGAAGATTCTGACTAGCTCTTACAGCCTCTTTGCCCTCAGCTTTCAGCAGGCACAGGCAGAAGAGGGGCTTTTACAGGAGCCTGTGCATCCCTCAGGGGTGGTGGCACACAAAGGACAGGAGAGGAGAAGCTGACCAGGTAACCTTGGCTGTTCAGGGCCAAGTGGCTGAGTTCTGGTGGTGGCTGAACCCTCAACAGCTAAATAGGTTCTCAAAGCAGTTTAGCACAACACACTGAAAATATTCCCACTTCACCTTTGAGCCAGTGGTTCCTGTCCAGATTCTGCTTGGTGTAGGCCAGCTGTGTGCTGATGATGCTTCAGGACTGAGCCCCAGCACACCATGGGCACTGGCACTGTCTCCACTGCTGCCTGGGACCTCCTGGAGCTCATAGCCAGGAGCAGCTTCAGCAGGAAAAAGAAGGCCAGGTCCAATTTTGTTCTTTTCCCTTTAGGACTCTCGGTGAATAGTGTTTGCCTGATTTTGTGCAGACATCAGCAGTTAATCCTGATGATGAGGAGGGCTCTGTGGCTCGTGCTGTCTCAGGGACTATGCAAAGCCACCCAGGACTGCTAGCCAAGCTCACTAATCAAGGTGTCACCACTTCCAGAAAGGGTGGGCACGCCTCCATCCTGGGTCACAGCACCCAGAACCTCTTGGGAGCCAGGCCCTCCAGGCTGGGGCATGGTGATGGGGAACATTCTCCTCCTGCAAGGGGTGACACTGCCATTCTGCAAAGCACTGAGTTGCTCTCCCTCCTCTTCCCAACAGGCCTGTCATGGAGGTCCCCAGTGAGCAGCCTTTCAGTGAGGAGCAGGCTCGGCTCTACTTCCGAGACATCGTCCTGGGCATCGAGTACTGTGAGTACCCAGCACTGACAGTGCCCTGCAGAGCACCTGCCTTGGCCCCCTGTGCAGCTGGGGGGGAGCATCTCGACTCTGGTGGGCTCTCAGATGAGCCAGGGAGGTCCCCTCTGTTTGCTTGTGATGGGGTTTGCAGTTGGAGGTGGCCCCCCTCAGCTCAGGCAGTGTCACAGATCCCTTAGAAAGGACATTGGGAAGGAAAATAGTGGCTTCCTTTTTCTTCCACGTGTCTCTCTCTGAGGGCAATAGCAGAGCCAGAAAATGGGTGTTTGCAGTGATGTGGACTGAGTCAGGCAACTCCAGCTGGAATAAATTTCTTCTTTCTGGGTTAGCAGGGCAAGCAGTGGCCATGGGGAGAGCTGGCAAGTGGCACTGGGAGGGTGTCCTTGTCCACTCCCTTCGCAGAACCCATCTGAGCGACTCCTCATCGCTCAGGGCTGTGGGGTGATGAGAGCCCAGCACTGCTGTGCCCTCCCAGGGAGATGCTGACTCAAGTGTGTTCCCAGGCTCTGCCCAGAGACTGCAGCAGCAAGGTTCCTCTTTGCAGCCTATTGGATTATTGTCACCTTTCTTAGTGACACCCTCTCCCACTGTGGCTGAGGCCAGATTCACTGCTGAGGGCCTGTTCTGCAGAGGACCAGGAGGCCACAGTAGGTCTGTAGATGACAGCAGGGGTTTTTCTGGCCCCATTGCAGTTGACATGACCCTGCTGGCCTGAACCTGGCGGGAGTGGGAGAAGAGGTGTCCCTGAGCTGAAGGCACGAGGTGGAGTGGGCTGTGCTGGCATCCTGTGAGCAGTGATGGCTGGCAGTTACTACTTCTGGACCTCAAGCTACTGGAGAGCTGAGATTGGCTCTGTGCCTGTTTGATCCTGATGTTCTCCTTGCAGACAGCCTTTTGTAGAGTTCAGTGATGTCACTTCACCACCAGCTGTTTTCTCTTCACACTGACAAAGAATTACCTGTGGTCAGTATGGAGAGGAAGAGGCAGTACAGCTTTTTCAGAGGCAATTCACACCTTGCAGATCTGTTTGGTTTTGAGAGGAGTCAGCAAATATGTAGATAAGCTGATCCTGTTATTACACAGTGCTTCGATTGCCAAACAGCTTTTGATTAGATCCATTAACAGTAGCTCATAAAGAAGCTCCTGAGCCTCTTTGGTTGGATGGGCTTTTGTGAATTAATAACCAGACAATCAGGAAAGTTGTAATACAGCTTTCATGGTGGAGAAAAGTCGTACATGCAGTTAAAGAGAAATCTATAGCGTGGGCTGAGTTGTTCAATACATTTCTAAATGACCAGAAAAAGGATAGAGGACAGTAAGAGGTTGGTGATGACACCGAGTTATTCAGGGCAGTTGTTGTTAGAACTGACTGCAAAGACTGGCAGGAAAATGCCATTATAGCAAGCATGAGAAAATGACAGATAAAAATTCATGTTACTGACTGCAGGGTAATACATGAGGGGGAGAAACAACACTAAAAATACATACAACGTGATAGGCTCTAAATTATCTGCTCTCACTCAGACTTTATTCTGGATAGTTCTCTTGAAAATGCCAGCCCATTACTTAGTGACATTCAGCAAGGATAACAAGATTTGGGGAATTATTAGGAAGGAAATAGAGAAGAAAAGAGAAATTGTCATTATACAGTTATTTGGGTCTCTAAGAGCTCTTAGGTACAGGTAAGGAGTATCCTCAATATTTTGTGCAACTCGGCTCAGCCTGTCTTAGAAACAGCTCTCTAGAACTGAAAAAGGGCCAGGAGGGGTGATCAGGATGGTCATGGAACATGTTATGTGCAGAGATAAGAGCAAAGCTCTTCAGAATGGAAAGTTATCATGGCAAGGGGTGATATTACAGAGGCTGATATAAAATCCTAAATGCGAGAGAAGTGATAGAACAGGGAATGAATCTTCTCTGTCTCTAAAAACACAGGGACTAAGGGGTAGCAAACAAAATAATCGGGCAGCCAGTTTAACCCAGGAGAAATTATTCATCTGGCTTCAACCACCCAGAGAGAGCAAGTCTCTGAGTGTGATGGGCCTTGCTGAGGCAGAGGAAGGTGGTTTGCAGTGCCCCAGTCCATCTCCACATTGAAATGCAACACCACCTCATTTTTTGTCTAAAACCAGCAGGAATAAAATCAGCGTTTACAAGTCTGACAGTCCAGAACCTTCCAGGTGCTGCCAAAATCAGTCGGATCACTCCAGAAAGTTGGCTGAAGATATGAATGGGAAGCTCAAGACTGTCTTTGAGTAGAGTTTGAAGGGCGAAGAGGCAGCTTTTTATATTCTCATTAGCATTCATATTGTAGCAGAGCCTGTGTGCCTCAGCTGGGGGATCCAAGCTCTGCTGTGCTGGATGCTGCTGGAACAGTTCCTGCTCAGAGGAAACTTTGAGTTTAGAAGATGGAGAGGAAAAAAAAAAAAAAAGAAATGTTGATAGTCTGAGGCAGAGGGAGTGAAACTCAGCAATAAATTATAGGATGCCCAGCAACAGGAACAATAGGATGCTTTATTTTGGGCAATTGAGTAACCACTTATTTTATTAGGGAATGGAAGTTAAAAATGGTGTTCTCTCTGAACTGCTGGGTAAATGCATGGCAATTATTACATAATTAAGAGGAAAAGTGCACCGTTTGTGCATGCTGAAGGAAAAGTGTTGCCAGGCAATCCAGAGATTGCAAGGTAATTTTAATGTAAGCATCCATAATTGTTGTGTAATTTGGGAGGCTCAATAACCGTGCAGCTGTTTGAAGCTCGCAGTCATCACAGCAGCACATGCACCATTGCTGGTTGGGGTTTATCAGATGAGGAGTTGCAAACTGGAGTGCTGTTGGAGCCTGCAAGGCTTTAGTCCAGGCCAGTGCTGATGGGGAGCAGGAAGGGGCTGCAGGAGCCAAGCTGGGGACAGATGTGGGCTGACCTTTGGCATTGGTGGTGGCACTTGGTCCGTGGCTGCTGTTTGTCCCTGGGGACTGGACTCACTGGTAATTCGTGATGTTTGCCTGGGGTGGAGGACTCCTGCAAGAGGGCTGGCTGTGGAGAGGAGCAGTGGTCCAGGTGATGAGAGCAGAAGCATCCCATGCTGGATGGGAAGACTTGGGCGTGGTGGGAGGCAGGGGCAGTGCCCTGGAGGGAGCCAGGAGCTCCCTCATCCAATGGCACGGTGCTGCCTCACTTTGTCGACTGCTTTTGACTGGATTTCTGGGTTTAGTACCTTTATTACCAGGAGTGCACCTTGATGCTCACAGTCCAAGCCTTGTTCACTGAGCAGTGAGGAAACAGAGGCAGGTTGAAGGTGTGAGAGTCAGGGAGATCTGTCCATGGTAGAGTATCCCTTCCCCTGGCCCCTGAACTGCTGGGAACATACTTTGAGCTGGTCTTATTACTGATTCACACATTCTGTTTTAGTACACCTGCCTTAGAGCTGGGCTCTGTGGTGTGGGCAGTGTCAGGAATTGTTTAACCACATGAAAACTTTTATTGGGTCCCTGCAAAAGAAAGCACTTTTGCTCCCATTCCCAAGACTTTCCCAGTACTGCTGACACTGCACACCCCCCAGAGGAACTGGGGAGGCCTCTGCATGTGTAAGTACCACCAAAGAGGTAATTCCAGAGTGTGCTCAAGTGCTTTGGATGGGAAAGTTTTGCTGGATGATTTGTGTCATTAACTAAAGCGTGTTCCTGAGCGTCTCTCTGAATTAGAGATATGTGCAATTACCTCCCTTTCCACTTGTAACTCCCTTCTAGTGGTGCTTGTCTGGGGTTATTTAAGCTTCAGGCTCCCTTCTAGTAAGGCAAACATTCCTTTCCCAGTGATTCTCAGCAGAAATAAATGTGCAGGATAGTAAATAGGGCATACACCCCCCAAAAGACACGAGGGATATGCCAGGCAGGTATCCCAGTTTGATTTTAGGACTGGGACACGAGTATCTTCATTTAGTAACAGCCTGAGCAAGGACCAGGAGTAAGCAAACAGAAGGGCTGTCTGGGCAGGTGGCCTGGCTGTGACACTGGCCAGGAGCAGCCACTTAGCACAGAGCACGCACGCCAGTGGGACCCAGGGGAAAACCCTGCTGACTGGCACAGGATGAAGCACAGCCACTGCCCCTGCTGCTGTGGAGCTGCAAGCCCAGTATTCAGGTCACAAGAAGCTAGAACAGTTGCTGTCAGTGTGGCTGAAGAAATAAAAACATTGTTTCCTGCGTTCTCTGTGGAAAGTCCCCGGTTTCCCTCCTGTGACTGTGTCCAGGGGATCTAAGGGTGGTGGGTCTGGTCCCCTCTGCAGAGGAATGCTCACCTCATCTGAGCTGATTGGGTTGAAGGGAGGGTCATGACATGCAGCTAAAGCCACTGGGAAATACCCTTTGCAGCAGCAGTTCTCTGCAGGGCACCTCTCCAGATGCCTGCAGTGCCCCAGAGTCCTGCAGGCTGAGCCTGGGGCCACGTCATGTGCAGATCAAAGCTGGCTTTCCTGAGGTAAGGCTAAATCTACTTGGTCACCAATATGTGGGTATAATTTCCTTTATCTTAAAAGGAAATTTAAGCAAATAAATCAACACAGGGTTGTCTCTCCTGAAGAACATCTACAGCAATGTAAGCCCAGGGTGGGTGTGCTGAAGCATCCCTGGTGTAGATGGGTTTGATCAGGTTTGACCCTTGGCAGAGGTCAGTCCCTCAGGCTGGTGTGGGCCAGTAGAGCTGGGACACGAGTCTGTGGTGGAGCTGCTGCCTGCTCTGCTGTGATTCCCAGCAAGCTGCTGGCTCCATCTGTACCTTCATTCCCATGTGGGAAATAGGGAACTGCCTCTTCTCTGCTCCTGCCTCTTGCCTGTGTGAGTTCAGAGCTCCTCAAACAAAGCATGCTGAGGTGGGGGCTGCAGCTGCAAGGTGCTGGGTGTTATAAAGGAGAAGAGAGGCTGGTTTGTGTTTTATCACATGCAGACAAGCTCTCTTTAGATGATAAAAACCAAACAAAAAACCCTTTCGTGAG